TAATAATATTAGTTAGATATATTTTTTATATATTTCGCTGTCACCACATCACCGGCCAATAACCGTGTATGTAATTTACACAGTGCCGGATTCACACTGACCGTCAACTTGGCACCCAAGGGCGGTGACACAAGTTATCCTTTGTGTCACAGTGCACAACTTCCCTAGTCTTCCCATACCGAATCTTCGGCGTTCGTGTCAACTTCGCAGAATGACTATGTTGTGCGGATGAAGGAAGATTGTCCAAAATATGGCTGGGTTGTCAATGGATTGTGAGAAGTTGTGAAGATAGAGGCGCAGCAAACACTAGCGAGGCCTAGGACGCGAAGGCCCAGACTCAGGAGTCGGGATAAGTAGCAGGATATGGTGCAACAAGAGAGGATATTGGTGGCTTAAAATGTGCGCAAAATGCGACTCAATGATAGCAATCGTGTGCGGCCCCGGTGAAAAACCAAGTGCACGTGAATTCTAGGCAGCTGCGCACTCGCACTGCAGAGTATGCGCGCGTCAAGTGAGCGCCAAGCGAACGCTCCGGTAATTTCGTGGCGCGCAAGAATTTAATGCTACCCGCACACTATCAACGTCGACCCCTATAGGTTACCGTAGCCATCTTGGCTCAAGGTAAATATCCGGTCCACTCGCTAGGCTGCAGCCTAAAGGTGAATGCCAGTGACGACCCTTTTTATACTTTTAAGTTGCTATTACTTGAAGTCAGCATTTCCCCGTTCCCCTGGCCAATGTTGAACTGAAGGCTTCGTTTCACGAATGCAAGCACAACATTGACCAGGGGACCGGGGAATCTGAATATAATGCACACGCATATCACTGTCATACGGTATAATCTAACTGAAATAAACTGCATCATCCGAGAATCGAACTCGGGTCACAACGATGGCAACGTTGTATTCTACCACTGTGTATTGAGCGTTAATGTCTGCATTGTAGTTATCATTCATTTGCATACCACACTGGTGCATCATCCGATATGGCCGAGAATCTTCCTCAACCCCAAGCTGCTGCCCTTGACCAAGCTTCTATCGCCGCCCTGGCTGATGTTATCCGTACGATGGTGGTTGAAGCGAAGGTCACGATCGACCCTACCAGACCCCTCCAATGCGTGATGGCCCTCCAGAATGAGGTTAATGAGGCTATCAATAAGTTACAGGCAGCGACCAATGTGGCCACGGCCAAGAATGAAGTTGGAGGACGCCTCCAGGATCTGAAGAGTTCCCTGAACAAGTTTAAGGATGCTTGGGAGACCCTTTCATTGACCGAACACCAGAACGCTACTATCTCTGAGGAAGCCTCCTATTCCGGTATCCCTCCAGCTGAGAGGATGCAACTTCGCATGCTCTCCAAGATGGACACCCTGGTTAATAAGATGACAAGACCCCCGGTGAATCGTTTCAACAACTCTCCCTCCGGTGTTGGAATGAGGTGTTACAACTGTAACCAGCTGGGCCACCAGGCCAAAGATTGTCCTAAGAAGACTACGCTTCTAACTGAAGGTGCCGTGCTGATAGTGATGAGGCAGCAATCAGCCGGCAGGAAGAAGCTAAGCCTCCTGATAAGTTAGATATATTGTTTTTGAAATTAGATAAGTTATCCCAAGATATCAGGGATCTGAAGACTTCGAAGGGCGCTGAGCCCGAGCCCGATTCTGATGCGGCATCAACTGCAGCGTCTGATGAGGAAACCCCCAACAGCCCTAGGGAAGTGGCGCCCCCTGGGGACCGTGTCACTTTTGACTGTGATAATTATAATCTACGTTGGGATGATAGTCGAAGTATGTATGTTGTGAAGCTTAAGCAGGGCCCTCCGAGAGGGAAGGTCCCGCCTAGTGATGGGAGAAGGCAGAGCTACTGCCGTGATGATCAGTTGGTGACTCTTGAAGAAGCCCAGGCCGACATGGTGGAGTACGACGCCAACGAAGAGATATCTGAGGAACAACTGATAGAAGAATGCTATCCATTAAGGATGTTTGTACCCCCCGAAGAAGGTCGCCGAGTGAGAGGAGTGTTAAACCTGATACAATTTAATGAACATTGTGGACAAGGCTCCCAAGCAGAAGCGAATATTAAGGACTTTAAGTCCTGGACTTATTTGAGAAACTAAGAGTGACCAATACTGATAACGTGGTGCAGGCAGATTTATCACGAGCATTCTACTCGGTAGCTATAGAAGCTGAAGATGGTATAGCTGTACCATCTTCATACCATCTTCATCTTCATGTTGTAAGATGGTGAGACTGCCTATGGGCTGGAGATTCAGTATGAAGGTATTGTCCTTATGTGTAGAAGATATCCTGGGAAGATATTCTGAAGGACAACATCCCCGTTAAGGGAGTGACAAGAGTCGTGCATGCTAATAATATCGTGTATTCATCTGTGAAGGAGAAGAGTGGTATGGTACTTCAGCAGGTCGAGGACGATGAGAAGATTCTAAACGCTAGAGCCTTCAGATGGAAGCCAGGGAGCGTGGAGCGACTGAGAGACAATCCCGGTGACGCCATGAATGTGCTGGGTTATACTCTGTCCCGTTCAGATGACTCGTCCATCGTAATCGGCGTGAAGTATCGCACGCTGCCAGAGATATGGAGCCGAAGATCATTGTTACAATGGGCAGCTAAATGCTACGACGAGCTAGGCATCTCTGGAGCCGGAGCTATCAAGTCTAAGCTATCCAGCTTCGCGATGGCCGGTATACCCACTAAAGCAAGAAGAAAGTACATGGACGTCCCCTTATCGGTCGCTGAACGCCGAACAGTATGCCCATGGTTGGATGATCTTGTCAAGAAGTCTGGTAAACTAATCTCTTGGGCACCCCGCACAGCGTGCGGGCGTGTACGTGCGTACACTGATGCAAGCGGCTCTGGCTGGGGCGTGAAGATCGTACAAGAAGGCCTAGCTCATCCTCTAGGACGCTGGAGTGGACGATGGACGCAGAAGACGTATCACCTTGGGATGCCGGCGAAGGAGGCCCTTGGTATCATCAAAGGAGTGAGATACTGCCCATGGAAGGAAGCCGACATCTATTCTGACTCCAGCACGTGGGGTTTTGACGTGCTGCTGCTGGGGATAAAGATAATAGTAAGGGTAATAGCTGTATATCAGTGGGCACATTATGCGAATTAATTAGATAATGAGGATACGATGAGTTGCTACAGTGGATTAGTGAAGTGAATTAATCCGAAACCCTTTAATTACGATAAGTGAATTAGTTCCTGCAGCTCTGCGGCGGAACATAGTTGATTATGGAAGACAGAAACCCGTCTCCGGAGGTTTGGAAGCAGTTTCTGCAGTCTGAGAGAGATTTTTTCGATTTGAATGAACTTTCTCACAACATAACGTATGAGTAATATGCAAAGTTCATGGCTCTTCCAGGGAAGTGGATAGGTTTCATCGAGGTCAGGGCGACGGCTGAATATTCGAAGAACCGAATTGTGGTCCGGTCAGATGGCTCAATACTTAAAAACGGTGCCAGATATCGCTCGATAGAGTAATAAACTTGCCAAATGCCACGAAAAATCATCCAGGAGTCCTCGGATGTGAATTTTCTTTTGTTAAAGAAATGTTGAACTTGTTCATGAATCGAAGATAACTCGTTATCGGATGTTAAATATCCCTGGAGTGACCAGGGCTTGCTATTCAAGTGGCTGTGA